TTAAGCTCCCTCTTAGGCAAAAAGAAACAGATTTTTCCTGTGTGTTTGTTTAGATGTAGATGATAAACTGAAACATTGCCAAATTCCTTTCTACCCTCAAACAAGAAATCCATTATGTCCTAAGAAATAAATGTTGTATGAATATTTCCCTGCTTGAGAACAGCACCATTATTCTGTGAAGCTCAGAAATACAAGAAAGAAATAAAACCCTAACAGGAAATTGAATTTGCACCTTATTTAATGTGTGGTGACAAAGCAGATCGCTAGACTTTCCTTAATGCATGCAAACTGAAAGCCTATGCTCATCGTGTCTGCTTGTGTGGTTTTGTTTCTTCAGCGTTGAAACATTTTTTACTTAGGGCCTGATTTTTCAGCTCTCACTGACAATAACCCTAAGGAAATCCTACATAATGCTCAGTAGGATCAAATCCTACTTCTGTTCATTTTGAAGAAATCTGATCTCTTCATTTGCATCATATCCGTTAAAGCATGGAAGTGACTCAACTTAAGAATGATCAGAGTCCCTTGGAGACCACAGGCAATTGGATTGCTCTTGAGCAGCTACCTTTTGTTGTAATAGCCCTGGCTTGCATACACAGGCCTTGTAACTTTAAGAGCTGACAGCAGCACTGATGGTATCTCCCCTCTTTTTGTGCTCTGAGGATGCAAAATAATAGTGCCAGAGAGTAGTTGAAGAGAGAAAAAGCTTGTAGGTCTGTTTTCCATACTGTATGAGGCAGGACTGTATTCCAGCTTATTCCATTCACAAGAGAAGCAGGATGGTCAGTTTGGAATATGAAATCCTTTGATATACAGACTCTGAGAAAAAGGCCAGGTTCCTCCAGGAGCAGTTGAATATAATGGTTCTCTTTTTGTATTTGAAGAAAAATGCTGACTTTTTGACCTCAATGCTTGTGGTACCTCAAGGAATAGAAATGCTCCTGTGTCTTCTGTTGCAGAAGGGGGGGTCTGGTCTTGTAAACCAGAATTTCTTCCACCATGTCAAGCAGGAAGGGTCTTGGGACAATGTTATTCTGTAGAACTATTTCCATGTGATGGATGTTTTACAGAATGCATCTTGCTTTTTGCTTCTCAAGCATGATTTGTGCATCCACTAATTAATTCTTTTGAAGTTGTTTTTCCCATCAGCGTAGGAAAAAATAAAACATAATTTGATGTTTCCTATTAACTGTCATAATTTTGGTATTCATTTTTCTTTGATGGCATGATATTTGTATCACAGCAATTGTCTAGATCACACTGTTGGGATTTATTATACGTATGTAGTGATCACAGCTGATTTCATTGCCTCTGCTGTTTGTGGCATGAATGATGGTGGGCAGACAGTCTTTCTTTTTAATAAAGAATCACAATTGGTCCATCTTTTCTGTGGTATTTGTACAGTGATCATAAGTGTGTGTGTGCTAAGGCAATATGTTTAATCTTGAGTGGATTTGTCGTTAGAACCGTGACTTGTGCACAGTTGTAAAAAGGGGAAAAAAAAGCTATTTAAATCCCTTCCTTGTTTGCACACCACGTTGCATACCAAGTGTGGATGCAGTCACGTTCATGCTTTCTGATTTGATCTCTGACTCAAAGTGAAAGCAGCTTGCTGGAACAGCATTTTTCCAGCCATAGATGTTAACAGTCTGGATGACCCTTTTTGCCCATGTAGCTTAAAGCTGTGATTAGTGATGGGAACACATGTGCTAAATTGTCTGCAAAAACCCGTTGTAATGTGGGGTTGCCAGGACTTGTCTTTAATTCTTGCAGATCGGTGTGTGCTTCCTGCTGTGAGTACGCCAAAGATGATGAATCTGCTGGTGGTTCACATCATAAGCAGTTCTGCTTGTGCCTGAATTCATGGCTTGCCAGTATGAGAGAATTTAACTCCTTCTGAGTAACTGACAAAAAGAATAAGAGATGGGGTAGAAAGGAGACTTCATAAAGAAGAGGGCAATAGACAGAGCTTCTTTTTCATAATAGTAATTGCTGTCTTTAAAAAACTTACCAAATAATTTTATCCCCCATTTTTGTCTCCAGGCTTGACTCTCTGTGGCCACGCAAAAGGGATGGAGCTTAATAATTGTGAATGCACGTACCCTTTAATTCCAAGTTTGTAGTACTTTTTTGGAAGCAACGATCTGCCACGGATCTCTGTGTGATAGGTTGAAGGTGGATTTTCGGAAGAAGCTAGAACAGAGGTTGCATTGAAAGTTACTTGTGATCATCCTACCTTATTAGACCTGTGGCCTAGGCAGGTAATGAGAGCCAAAATGACTAAACGAGTTTTTCGAATAGTGACTCATTGGTAGAGATGGGGACCATAGTAAAGAGCCAGAGAGTTCATAGATGCAGCTTCTGAGGCAGATCCAACAGCATGCTGAGTGTCTGCAGCTTCAAGCTGAAATTATATGTAGACTTGGATGTTAAAGCTACAAGCTAAATTACAAACTAAAGGAGGTTAGCAAGAAACTTTAGCTTAGATGCAGGAGTACTCCATAGCTCTTTATGAAATTTAGCAGCTTCTGAAGCATCTAGTATTGACCACTCCATGACAATACTCCAGTTCTTACACTGTAACCACAGGATCTAAACCAGTCTGAATACTGAAGTAATCCCTAACAACTCCTGGCATTAAAGCAGAATTCTCAGTTACTTCATGATTTAATTATAAGGACCCACCAATGGTAACTTAGAAAAGCAAATGTATTGTAGGTAGGCTTAGGTTTCACCTCTGGACCTCCAGTGGAAAATGTCTAGATGGTCCCCAACTCAGGAAGAGTCTAAGGTGAAAGGGTAATATGGTGTAGAGGTCACAGTATTTTCTTCCTAATGGTTACGTGATATTTTAACGTTGGTTTGAAAATAACATTTTAAAAAACGTTGAGATCAGTAGGAAGAAATGGAAGAATGAAAGAGGGGTTTTTTTTTTTTCCTAGAGGTGTACCTGAAAGCCAGCTTAGAGCATTTTGCAGCGTTATAATAGAGCCTTAACAATAGTTCTCTGTAATTCTCCTAAGTCAGCGATAATTGAATTTTGGCTGCTTGTGGGTTTAATGCCACCAGGAAATAAAATTTGTTTGCACATGAAATATTAACACTGTTCTGTGCAGAAATGTGAAACCGGAAAAATGCTAGTACTGATACTGCTTTAATTCTAAGTTGCATGTTAGTGCATTATGTTTATTGTTATTCTATTAATTATTGTTACATTAACACTCATTAGACCTCCAGGGTTTGGCAACAATCAGAGAATTTGCATTCCTTGCCCCAAACACTTTGCAATTTTGATTTTCAAGGCAGGTAGCTAATAAGATATTAGTCCATTATAACAAGGGAGAGAACGAATGTTGTGCGTGGTATCGTGCTCAGAATTTGTGGCAGAGAGATGAACTGAATCCAGTTCCCCTGATAATCTTCCTGTATTTCAGATTTTAATTTTTCAAGGACTCTGTACCTGCAGGGACCTGGAATGCTGCTTACTTATTCTTCCTTAATAATCAGAATTTCTGATATTTGATCTGAATGTACTTGAATGTTGTGAAGAGCGATGAGGTGGAATTGCTTGCAGAGTAAGAGTTAAACTGGTGTCCTAGACTGCTGTGAAGAGTAGTTTCTCTTACTGAATTACACAGATACAGCAATATACAGAGGAGCAGTAGGAGTGGCTGAAGCCAAAATGCCTGGAGTTGCCATGTATGTGTTTAAGAATTGATCTAGCAGCTCCTATTTATACTTTCTCACTGAGATGAATAAGAAGGACTTTTTAAAGCTCTCATGAATCAAATAGTATTTTTGGTGCTACTTGTGGGACGTTAAATAGATCGGTTCAAGTCCTTTGTTCAACCCCAGCTAAAGCAGAATTGTGAAATTGTCTCACATCTCCCATAGCACTTTATCTTCATTGGAGTTGGCTGTTCTGGGATGGATTGCTTTCTGTCTCCTGTGTTGACCAGAATGCCAATGTAGCGCTATGAATATTTATATATGAAAACAGAAACCTAGTTGCCGAGTCACAGAAGTCCTTGACTGGTCCTTCACTCTTTTACTGATACAATTATTTTTCCCAATAGAGTTGTACATGGTCACAAGTCTATATCCAAATATTAGAGTTGTTTATCTAATTCATGAATTACAGGGACTATAGTACGTGAAAGAATAACACAAGACCAATGCAAATTAGGCACTAAAAGGTAATAGTAGTTACTGGGACATTAAGTTGTTCAGAATACAGGTGGGGAATGCTCTTTATTCCTATTTGCTTTATTCAGTGTCCAATATACTGTTATATGTCATGCTTGTATCATGAAGTGTATATCGTGGAGATGTGGCTAGATTTTTAATGTTTGTCTCTTCACTGCAGTTTTCTCCCAGTACTTATGTCTAAATTAATACTGTAAAATCAACCTGAACATTTCAGAGGTCATACTTTTAAAGAAAAATGAAAAGTATTACTGCAGTTATGGTGGAGCAGCTCAGTGTTATCTAGGGACTGGAGGAGTTAAACTAAACTGTACAACATTTCTAAAATATTCACTGTTTAAGACACAGAACCTTGAAAGCTTCTTAAAGCACATGCTTGAGGAAAATATATGCTAGTGTATAAAATAGTAAAATCTGTTCTATTTATGGAATCACATCTTTTCTTCTGCTCACCTCCAGTCCCAGAAGTGAAAGCTAGATTGCACTGGTACAAATAACTGATACCTCCAATGATCCAGTTAGTCATGTTAATTGAGATCTTGCTGAGGACCAAGTACTTGCAAGTTATGTAGATTCCTCCAAGGAAAGTCTTTATTACAAGCTGTCTTGTAGCTAGAGAATACCAAGCATCTCCTGTGATTTCGAGGCATGTAGTGACAGGAAGAGAAAGCAAAAACCTGACAGAAGGGAGCAAGACCAACTGGGTCATCTCATTTGTCAGCACCGTAGACTGTTACTAACATATTTAGTAGGCATGTTTTTCAAATCTATCTGTGTGGCTTTTTGTCTTCCAGTGTGTGGCTGTGACTTGGCACAAGGAGGCTTTTTCATTAAGAATGGGGAGTATCTTTGCACCTTGGATTACCAGCGCATGTATGGTACCCGCTGCAACGGTTGTGGGGAGTTCGTGGAAGGCGAAGTAGTGACAGCTCTGGGAAAAACTTACCATCCAAGCTGCTTTGCCTGTACTGTTTGCAAGTAAGTCATCCCTTTCAACTACCATGGTGCGAACCCAGTACAAGGAAAACAGGGAGGAAAGGTATCACCATGAGACACAAGTCTCAAGACATGTTTCTCTTTGAGAAGCATTTGGTTGGAAGAGATCTGCTGCAAAGTCTGACTTTGAGGGTCTTCAAAATATTACTCACTTATTTGGAGGACACAGCTTCTCTGTTACATCTACTTCTCTGTTCTCAGAAAGTTACTCTGGCATATGAAAGAATTACATATCAGGCTTACATGTTGAGATAATGGCTGTGGGTTGAACTGGGTGCCGGTGATCAGCCCAGCTTGATGGGAGAAATGAGGTAAAGCAAAATTGTAGGTACTACAACAGAGAAGTAATTTGGGCTACAAGAAAAGTTAAACAATTGAAAACATACTGGAGACTCATTTTCATGTCATGAAAGAATGCATGGCTTTGAGACAACTGTGATCCCCCTCTTAATGCTATTTCTTGTCCCCAGTAAGAGAACCAGTCTTCAATTCTACAGGAATAAAAGAAGTTAGCTAAGGCTGTGTGTAGAGGACAAAAGGTGGCATTTTTAACTTGTATTGTTGTTTAAACTCTCACTAAGATACTAATTCACAATTTAGGAGACTATTGGGCAAATCTTCCACAGGATCTCATAGCCTGCTCATTTAAGCAACTCTGTGCTTGAAAATCTCAGCTGTGCTTTATAGCCTAATCTCAACCCAAAGTCCCTATGCATAGTGTTCTCTATTAGTTGGCTGTAGGCACTGAAACTGTGCTAGAATTTAGACTGGAAATAAGGCATGTACCTTATTGCTAGGGTGATTAGTATAGGATTTTGGAAACACTAGGGGCAATAAAGCTTCTGTAGATTTTTATAGTAGTGGCACATTTTTATAGTAGTAAAAATAATCTTCTAGACTCAAAGTGAAAGTAAAGGCATATGATGCCATCATGATTCTACAATAAGTATACACATAACACAGTTGGCTTTCTACTTACTAAGCTGGAATTAAAATGGCCATTAGGTTTTTTATTTCTGCAATTCTGAGCCCTGCAAGTAAAAAGGAACTTTTCTTAAGTAAGTTTCAGTGTAATGCCTGAGGGACACATCAGAAGTATCAGACAGAGATACAAGTAGATTTCATAGAGAGGGAGGACCCAAAAGACAGAGCCTATTCCTTTGTAGTCTTGGGGGGAAATAGAACAGTGGAGTTCTCCACAAGTCAGAATCTGACAGCAGTTGAATTGTCTGAAGCTTAATGCAGGAGGATGACATGAACAAGAAAGGCAAGAATCTACACTCTGAGATAGTACCTTGTTGGAGATCCCATCATATGATGTGTCTGGGTATTAGTGTGGCAGGCTTGCCAGGTGGTTCCCTAATCTTTCATAGCTGTCTGATGAGTAGTTTAAGTACTTTGTCCTATAGCCTGGTACATTCTTCAAGACCTCTTTTATTGAAAGTATTTTGATCATTTTTCCATTTAGTTTTAAATAGTGTGTGAATTTACTGCATGTTGGTAATCGTATGTTGTATATATTTCATATTTATGTCCCAAGGACAGTGTGAAAGTAGATGATACAGTATGAGACATAACATCAATTTTCTGTACATAGATACACATTTATCTTTTCATGTTGAACGAAGAAAAGATGGATCATTAGAATAGATTCATGAAATGCAGTATTGGTACTGATTTATTTATGGCCCACTTAGGAACAGCAATAGAAATGCCTTAAACTATGTTTTGTGGAAACAAGCAGATGTTCACTTGTTAAGCACTGTTTTGGAGTGAGGTGTGGTGTAGGGGGTCTGTACTCAGCAGCTAAAGCTACTTGCTAAAGATTTGGAGTTACATAACCTTCTCATTTTAGTGAAATGCTCTGGTTTATACACCAAATAAAACTTAAGAGCAATGTCAACTTCTGCCTGATGCACATTCTTAACATTTTGGTGGGTTCAGCAAATAATCTCGAACTTCCATAGTGCATTTAGCCTTTACCTTCCTCCTAACACCATCTGCACAGATAGCAATTACAGTGATGGTTCTGTAGTGTAGACACCTATTGTAAAGCTCTAGGAGAATGAATGTGGATAACATTGCATTTTTTTTCAAACTGCTACATCCACTGTAATACAGTCATACATTTCATTGCTGAATACGGATGAAATTAGTGTATTTATGAGGACTAGCTCCACATCCTTTCACTATCCTCCAGACCAATTCCAATTCTTCCTTCGAGTTTTCTTCTGTACCATTTGCTATCCACAACATCACGCTGAGACCATCATAAATGTAGCTGTTGTGTCTAAGCAAATTTTACTGTTGTCTACTCTTTATCTAAAGTACATTTGATAACTTTTTTAAACCAAAATACAAGGCAAGTCTAACCTCTGCTCTGCTTGCCTCCACGGATTGGATTTCTTCCAGTGCCTGGCTTTGCCAAGGCCACATTGCAGAAACTATTTGGCCTGAGTTTCTGTAAAATACTGATTGCACTGGGGGAAGGCAGCAAACTCAAGGCATTGAGAACAGAAGAAAACTTCTGGCATAACCTCTGCTAAAATACATTTTTCTCTTTAACTCTCCAGACGTCCGTTTCCACCAGGCGATCGAGTTACCTTTAATGGAAGGGACTGTCTTTGTCAGATGTGTGCTCAGCCAATGTCCTCCAGTCCAAAAGAATTGTCTGCCTCAAGCAGTAAGTATGCCACCTTCTTTCTGAAGCCTCTTACTTTCCTGGGCTCATCAAAATTTGGTTGAAACTCACTTAATGCAATCTTTTGTTGGGTTGGTTTTTTTTCCTTCAACTTTTTTCCTTTTCATGAAAAGTGGTGCTACAGGTAGGAAGAGACACTTACACATTTCAATATAAAAAATTACTTTTCCCCAGTGATTTGATTTTTAAAAGGGCTGATTTTCTTTTATAGGCACTGGAAAAGTATGTACTTTTATGTATGAGGTTTCAGAGTTGATAGATTCCATTATTTTCATGTGTAATTGCACAGGTTTAAGTATTCAAAAAAGGACAAAGTCAGAGGAAATTAATTTTCTTCTACAGTTTAACACTTTTTAATTAAATTATCTTTTAAAAGGAGTATTGCCAGGATTATGCCTCCAGTAGACTGATACCACAATGATACTGTGATCAGAACCTCAAGAAACCGTTACAAAAAAGAGAGAAAGCAAATTAAGGGGAAAGAGAGAGCATAAAGAAAGTTTGAGAGGGAAATTAACTTGGTTTGCCGTTGGGTTTTAATGCTTTTAAAAGATAATTTGTAAATTACTGATACTAATCTCTGCCTCTGGTAGTTATTTTTTTAAATCTTCGGGGATTTCTGATTCTTCCTCTGACTGCTAGATCATACTTAGCACTCTAATCTGTAATAACTAAACCAGTACAGTTTTATAATTCAAAATGGCTACAGATTTCCTTTTAACACTAGGTAGTTTTCCACTAATGTTGGTTTCCTTCAGGGAGATGCTGTGTATTTTGTACTGGTACTTCTTTGAGATCCTAGGATTATAAAGTGCAATGTAAAGGCAAAGTTGGATAATGTTTGTGCGCAGCAGATGAGTCAAGTGAATCTCAGGTTATCTGATTTGCCTGAGAACATGTAATCAGACACTTAGCAAAATGGAAAATGAGAGGTGGTTTGTTTTTTTTTTTTTAATCTTGCTTTTCTGTCTGTTAAGTGATACTTTTCCATTATAACTGTAGATTTAGAAATAACACTGCACAGGAAGAATTTAGGAACCTGAAAAAAGCCTTGCAAAACCTGCAGACCAACATGGAGATGTATGAGGTATTTCAGGCACCCAGAGAATCCTTCTGAGATAAAGCAATGATGTAGAAATTGTATTTGTTTGAATTACTGATATTTAGGAGGTGTGATGGGCAAGGAACTGCAAGGCATAGGGACCTTGGACAGTACTGATGTTCTTTTTCTAAACGTGTCACAGGACTGGTTCCCAAATGGCTGGCGTTCCATGACAGAACTATCTGGATCACTCTGCATCTAGTTCTCAAAAAGTGGTGCGCTTTACCAGAAGCGTGGCCACTTCCCGGACACGGGACTCCAGATGCCAGAATGCCCCCTACAGATGCCAGAATGCCTGGCTACAGTTGTCCGATAGTTAGCAAGCGAAACTGCTGGAGAGTCACTTTCTGATAGCCATAGTCTGCTTGAATTGCTTCTTGGGTTCCACAGTGAAGCTATAGGTAGCAAGGATTATAAACCAATCTTCCTTGCTATTTGTGATGGGATTTATTATATTTTTTTAATCAAAATTGTGTCCTTTTGGGCAAACTGCCTTACTAGTAAGCACAGCAAGAGAGCTCCTGCTCTTGACAATTTAGAGTGCACTGCTTCAAAATCTGCAAGTACCTGTCACTGTTCATCTTGTTCTTTTATGGACAAAGACTTGTGGGAAGATATAGTATAGAGTGTCTGGTCATTTTAGAACAAAACTCTCCAAAACGGACAAATAAAAGTGAGACCAGCATGTTTTTATAAGTTCAGAAAAACTAAATTAAAAGAATACTAATGGAGCATCCTCTGTCTCCAAAGATATGCCAGCTGACGCTTTAGCTTTGTGCAAAAGCTGACTTAGACATGGAGAAGTCTTTCTTACTGGCACTGAAGAGTAAATTTCAATTAGTGTAAGTTCTTCCAGATTGCTTCCATGTCTCTCCTGCTGGCTGAATCAGACACATAATTTATTTTTTTTAAATGCTTTGCCCTTTTTTGAAAGGATGGATATTTTTAATACAAGTTCTTCTGGAAGAGAATGTCATTCATACTATGCCTCTATTTTGTGTCCTATATTGCTGTCAGTTTCCCTTGATTACTTCCAAGTAGATTACTAGAGGAGGCTTTCCTTAAAACAAAGAAAGGTTGGAAGTGAGGAAATTCAATAGACTGAAAGTATGTGAAGTTTGATTGGTTTATGTAATGTAAAAAGAAGCATTCTATCCACTAGAATGTCTGCATTAATGTTGACGTGGTTTTCTGATGTCTGTTACTTCACATAAGTGAAAGGCTTATTGACTGCTTTTCCTGGGTGATTTCAAGGAAAATCAAATGCCTCTAAATACAGGGGTTAACATCTTGAATAATATGAACCTGAATATTGTTACGTTCTCTTTTATAGTACACTGATGAAAATCAGAAGGAAAAATACTGAATAATTAATTTTCCTTTTTTGTTTAGTATTAGTTGGATCCATGGTGCTTATTTACCTTATTTGTATTAATAATATATTTCTTTCACTGCATATATATTATCTGGAATAATTACAGCTATTTTCTTGAAGAACTATTTCAGTGACTCCTTTTTATTCTAATTTTCTAAGACAATCTTTTTCAGTATACAGATGCTATAGAGTAGTAATAATTCATAACTTATTCAACTCTATTCCTTAGACACTGCTAGATATACACAGTGCTCCAGCTTTGGGATTTTCAGTCATTCATTTCATAGCAGGAAATCTAATACAAAATACCTGTAAATAGCTTTGCAGACAAATGAAGTGGGTGGTGTTCTTTTTTGTTATTGTTTTATTTCATATGGCAGCTTGATAAATGAGATGTGATCAGCAAAGTGACTGGGACAGATGTAGAGCAGTACGGAAGCAGGGGACAACTAGATGACACTGACCAAAAGTGTGATGTTGATGGCTTGGATAGTTCAGGGTTTTCAAGATTCTGCCAAAGACAGGAAGTTATTTTCTTTAGGTCCTGGTAAAGGAGTAATATAAGCAATGTATCCCAGTATTTACTATTTACGTTTTAAACGGTGTCCAGATTTTATATACAACATCATAATTGCCTGGTTTGTGCTATCTTAAGCTCTTTCTACTTTTTATTGTGTTCTAGCTCCATGCTAACACATCTACATTTGTAATGGTCCATATTGTCTTTCCAGAGAACCAGTTGGGCAGGCTTCTTTATTATATTATTAGGAATTTTAGGCAAGACTGCAACTTGTGTGCTTGGTCCCTTGCTTCCTCCTCCCCGTTTTACCTTCTTTTCATTAAGGTCTCCTGTATTGTATCTCTATTCCATATATTGCAGCCTCATTTCACTGTCCTTCAGCATTTTGTATTGCATATTCAGTGGGCTGTTTTTGAAGGCCACCTTTAAAAATCTGCAAATTATATGAAGTTTTTTTTCCCTATTTTCATGTTGTAATTTAGAGTGAAAAAGAATCAAAGCCAAAGTCAAACTTTTGATATCTTACTGTTGTTGTTGTTTTTGTTGTTATTTGTTGTGGTTTGGGGATTCATGGTTTATTATGTTGTCAGATGAGTGATTACCTGTTAGTTACTTCCCTTGGACCTGAGAAGTCTGAGTGTAGCTTTCTGGTTTTTTTCATACATGTTTTATGTATCAGAGTAGGTATTTAAATTTCAAAGATTGGTTCTCTACCAGCAAAATGAAAAAATAACGCTACCCTAGTATGTTGTGCTTATAAGCAAATTGAAGATGGTGGGTGCTTGATGATGCACTCCTAAGTACTGAGTCTAACCCATTGATGCTAAAGTCATAAAAATTAGAAAATTCGTGTGGTTTTAACTTGTGTAAGGAGAAAGTCAAGAACTTAGTCTGCCTAATTCCTTGTTCTTCATCCACATTAGGGTTAGGTACTTTTGGAAGAGTAGTGTGAGCTTTATAATACATCTTTCCAGCCCCCAGGATCTCAAACTATTTTATTCCCCTAGGGGCCAAGTGAGTAGTGGCTGAGGGTACGCACTCTGGATTTCGATTAGCATTGGTGTGTGGCAAGTAGATTGGCCACGTTAGCAGGCTTACCCTCTTTGATACTTCTCCACTAGGGCATTTTATCAGTGAATTCTCACTAAGGCAGCTGGTAAGTGAACTGGTGTGGACATTTGAACATAAAAATCCCTAGTTTAGTCAGACCGTCATTTTTAAAAGATACCACGCTAGCTTGCATTGCTTCTTGAATGCACAAGAGGTGGTATGGAAAGTACAGCTGAGAGTAGAGCAGCCGTAGGGAGATCCCCCGCACTCGGGGTAGGCACAGGAGTGAGGTGATGCCAGCAGTCTGCGCTGGTGGAGCTTGAACCATCAGTCTGCTGGCTCAAGATCATCTTTGAAATTCTGAGGAGACTAAGTTTAATACATTTTCCTCAGCCAGAGACTTTTCCCTTAGGCATTCCACTTCATTATTTCTATGATAAAGCACTTCAGTAATAAGAATGTTATTTCTCTACCTGAGATTGAGCCTTTTCTCTGTTGGTTCCTTGTCTGGGTGCTGGTAAAGAAGTTTTAGTTATATCTGATTATCTTTTTGCTGAAAGGTTGGATCATTTTAGTGATGTGCATGAACTAATTAAGAAATTGCATTTCAAATTAAAAGTAGACTCTCTAGATGGATAAGAGAAAACTCCCTATCCAAAAGAAACTGAAGCGTTACAATCACCTAGCAAGTTTTTTTCATTTGAAAAATTCATCTTCTTTTAAAATGATGGCAGAGACTTTCACAGTTTCCTCTTTTCCAGTGAAATAGGTATGTGTCCTATATATGCTGAGATACCCAGTGATGATACTGTTTGGAAGGAAGCACAAGGAAGATATTTCGACTCCCCTTTCTTTGTAACAGTCTCTCCTGTGAGTTAGGAGCATTACAGTACAGCCAAGGCGTGGACCAGAGTTTTCAAAATGGCCAGTGTTAC